GTGTGTGTGTGTGTGTGTGTGTGTGTGTGTTCTACAGGAAGAATACAGTGCAGAGCAGATCCAGTGGTACCCGATGCCAGTCCAAAACTTCAGCTCCTGTTTGGAGCTGATATCCTCCAGGCCACATGGCATCCTTCGTATACTGGATGATCAGACTTTTCTTCCTCAGGTACCAGCCCAGATCTCAGTGTCAACACCTCACTTTTTTCTTATTATTTCAGTCACAATGACATGTTGATTTCATACTCCTCCAACATATAGTGAATTAGACATTATTAACTGTTGACATTCTTTTTACCTTTTTCCTGGGATTTAAATTGATCAAGATATTTTCATAGCTTCAAAAACACTTTTTTGTAAAAGAAAAAAAGACGACAAAGAAAAAAGAAAAGAAAACCTAAGTAACTATCCCTTACATAAAATACTAATAGATAAATAGATAAAGAGGACTCCAAATAGGTAAAGGCAAAATTTTACCTTTAGAGTAAGTGATGGTTATAACTCAGCTATTTTCACACCGAATTTTAGCTCAGTTTTTGTAAAACTGACTGAGTAATAGCAGTTTTTGTGTTTGCTAAGGTCACTTGGCTTCCTTTCTAGTGTACGTTTGTAGGTATTTTGTCTTCCTAACAGGCTACAGACCACACTTTCCTCCAGAAATGCCACTATCACCATGCAAACAACCCATTTTATGCCAAGCCCAAGACCCCAATGCCAGTGTTCACAATTTATCACTATGCTGGACCTGTCACCTATCAGGTACATTAATTAGTAAAGACTTTAAACACTCCACTTTAACACACGTGCTTTTACATTTGACTGAAACAAAATACCTTCAACTTTTTGCAGGTCCATAATTTCCTGAATAAGAACCATGACCAGTTCAGGACGGAGGTGGTGGAGCTCTTTGCCAGCAGTCGTATAAAGGTCAACATTTATTTATTATAAAGTTATTAAAATTTTAGAAGATTTTTAATCTTTATTTGTTATTTTCTACATAAGTTTCCAGTTAAAAAAAATCTGCATTTTTCATCAATAAATGGTCTGTACTTTAATATCACCTTTCTATTCAAACAGGATACTCAAGCACTTTACATTACAACCTACATGTCCTCATTTACCCATTCACACAGCACTCAACTAGATCGTCCTACAAAGCTAACATGCACAGTCATCTGTGGACACTAATCAGTACTTTAAATCACATTCATACACTGATGGGGGTTCAGTGTCTTGCCCATAGACATTTTGACATGATTGAATAGCAGAGAATCGAACCGCCAACTCTCTGGTTAGAGGACGACTCCCCTAAACACTCAGCCACAGCCGCCTTAATGGGGTGCTGTTTGTAACGTTACACAGTCAAAAATTACCACCAGTATTTTTGTTTTATTTAGCCTTTTATAAGAAAAGAATAACAGATTTATTTTTCAAAGTCAGTTTTTTACCATATGATTCATATATTTATAAATGTCATAGTTTATAAACTAAATATTTAACTTACAAATTAAATATATAGTCAACAAACTAAATTAACTTGTGACTTAAATATTTAGTTTTGAGCTAAATATTTAGCTTGCAACTGAAATATTTAGCTAGCAAGTTAAATATTTAACTTAAATATTTAGGTAGCTAGCTAAATATTTCAGTTACTGTACAAGCTAAATATTTAG